AAAAAAAAAAAGAAACAGAAAATACCAGATTGCCCAGCTACTTGGGAGGCTGAGGCAAGAGAATCACATAAGCCCAAGAGTTGGAGATTACTGCCAGCTGTGACACCACAGCATTCTACCGAGGGTGACATGAGACTCCATCTCAAAAAAATAAAAATACCAGATTACATTGCACATAGTACGTGTTGTTTCAGGATAATAATATAATGATAATTATATTTCAGATACACATGGGAGGTGTGTGCTAAGTCACAATATGCATCTCTAATGTTGGATTGTGACCAAAAGAAATTAGAAAGCCACCTGAGAGGATTCCTGAGGAAAGGTGTGTTATCCACACCTTGAATGCAGTACTTCATTATAATAGCAAACTGTGTCAGACACCAAGGTGAGCAATTGGTAGGCATTAACTGCTGCCAACAAACCTGTAGGGTTGGAAGTATTATTACCACATTTTATAGATAATAACACTCAAGTCCAAACTGGGGAATGACCAGGCTCCCAGTGGCAACTACTAAGCATGTTACCTACTGGGAGAGGTTAGGGAGTAGAGATGCCATAGCAACAGCCCAGTTGGCTCACCCAAACTCACAAGCAGCCCTGTATTTGTCAATACCACATGGGGTTTCATTGTAGACCTGAGTTTCTCAATTTAACTTATGTGTGGAAGGGGGGTGTGCAGCAGGGGTATCAGCCCCACAAGGGAGCTGGACTGGGCATGGAGTAATGAGCGTGTTATGGGGCCTCAGCCTGTGGTGGCAGTCTGCCCTCTGGGACTTCGGCCACCTTACATGTATGTGTGGTCTTGGGATTGAGAAACAGTTTCCCTTCTTTCCTCTTGTCAGGTGGCAATGGGTCCCTTGATCTCAAGGGAAGGGATTCATGGTCCCCATTCTTGGGTCCCTCTTGTGGCCAGTAAGACAAAAGGGAGAGGCTGCTCTTGGGAAAGGTTTTCCTTCCTGGTCTGCCTTGGCCAGTGCAATGCTTGCCTGCAGTCAAGTTGGCCATCATATTGTAACCTGGAGGTAGTGGGACCCATGTAGAAAGCCAGCAAGAACCTTGACAACTAGGAGACATTAGCCCTGGACTGCCCTCCTCCACGTAAGGTAGCCCATTAGAGTCATGGCCTGGGTTTATGGCTGCATATTTTGGAAAACTGAGAAGGCAGAAAGGAAGGAGGAGTGTATCATCTTCATCCCAGGGCAGTGTGCAAAATCAGATTCATCCCAGGAAGTGAGAAAGCTCTCCCAAGGTCTCAAAATTCTGGATCAAATCTTTCAATCTATAAACTCTGCTAACCCGAGGTGGTGCTTCACTTAAGGGTTAAACTACTTTTTCTCCTTAAGGAAGCCAGTTCAAGTCACACATCCTATCACTTTCTAGTCAGTTTGCTTTTGTACCCTTTGGGTCTTCCCTCCATGACAGAGCCTGTTGGGAGGGGGGGCAATGCTTGTTAGTCTTATGTTACAGATGTGGAAACAGCCATGGCAAGAAGAGTGCCTTGCTTAAGGCTATACTATAGATTAAGTGGCAGAACCAGAGTTGGATTCAGTGTCCAGATGTGGTGGCCTCTGTGACAGGCACTAGGGATAGTGAAGTGAACAGTATAAACATTCTTGTGTGGATTTTATGAATCTTTTCATCAAATCAGACTGCCTCAGTCCTGTTTTCACCATTAGGATAAAAGGGTCCTCAGGCATGCATACTTGTTCCAATGCTTGGGTAATTTGTAGCAGAAAAAACTGAAACCAGTTTAAAAATGAAGCAGATTATTACTTGGCTCATGTATCTGAAAACTCTGGAGGTGGGCTCAGCCCAGGCTGACCAGTCAAGTTACTCAGAGCTTTGGTCATTTCTCTGGGTTCTCTGTGCTCTCACTGCATCAGTTCCCTCATAGCTGCTCCATTTTTGTGCTCAGATTTGTGTTGCTTGTGCAAAGTGGGCTGCTTTGCTCTGGATCCTCAAAGTCGTAGGCTTTGCTTTGAAGAGGTCAACATAAGTCACAAATTCAGGATGGGACATTCTGAGCTGATTGTATTAGACCACTAGGGATCATCCCCTGGTCATACACAAAGCAGCAGAGGGGTAGACGCCCTGGAAGTAACAATGGTGTAGCCTCAGTATTAGACTGCAGTTGGTCCACATGGGAAGAGGGTTCCTAGTACAGACTGAAACTTTTTTCTAGTTAAACTAAAGCCATCACCTGGATTTGCTAAGGCTGCCAAGATCTGTCTGAACAGGCCTGTAGGATCAGCAAGAGGGGGCTCAGTGTCACAATGTCAGGAGTCTAGTGGACACCTCTGATGGGGAGGCTGGCAGGGGCAACGCAACCAAAGAAAGAGCCATGTACTGCAGGACAAAGCCAAGTTGTCAAGTGAGGGCAAGGTGGGGACAGTGTTCTGGGCAGCAAGAATACAGGTTCTTGTTTTTTTTTTGAGACAGAGCCTCAAGCTGTCCCCCTGGGTAGAGTGCTGTGGCATTACAGCTCACAGCAACCTCCAACTCCTGGGCTCAAGC